GGGGGAGGGAGAGAGAGAAGCTCAAGCGGACTCCCAGCTGAGCATGGAGTCCGATCTCATGACCCTGAGATCATGACTGACCTGAGCTGAAATCAAGTGTCAGACGTTTAAACGACTGAGCCACCACGTACTCACAGTCTTAATGCTCTATTCTAGAATCTTGCCTTGGGTCAATATCTACCTGTTTGTAGTTTGTGAAATGTATCTTGGTTTTCTTTTTGAAAATTAAAATTATGTTCACCCATCCACAACTTTGCAGCATTTTCTCTGTCCACTAATAGTTCCTCAGAATCTCTTAGAGGTTTCACATCTTTTCCAGTTTGAGGATCAAATGAGAAGGCATGCTAATCTGTAAACTTTAAAATGGTAAAGAGATGCAGGTGCTGTGCATGTTGTTGTTTTTAATATTATTGCTACTACAGAGTACTGAATGGGGCTTTACTTGGGCTCTAAATAATAATTCTTCAAACTTCAGAATTATAGAGCTTCTCCTTTGCTCCCAAGCAGCTAAGGGTTTTGGGAAGTGGATGGCATCCAGGTCTGGCTGAGTGGTCTCACTCAGACAAAAGTTCCAAGTGGGTGGAGGCTGGCAAAACGGGCTCCTGATTGCTTCTGAACATTCCGGGATTCTCATCCATTGGTGATCACCAGTCTAGTGCCTACTTGGGTGGGTGTTTGAATGGGCCCAAAGAGTTTCGTGTTCCAGGTGTCAGATCGTGGGGAAGATGGGGTAAGGGAGCAGTGTGAAGAATGATAAAATGCAGTGGTTCCGATTTTTTTGGAACAGAGAATGTGATGAGCCTCTTTGTTCTACAAGGACCAACCACCCGCCCCCTGCCCCCCGAGATCACCCTCCTTCTTCCCAGAAGGTTTGGCCACCAGATCCAGAGTCCAAGGGCTCCAGTGACTGAAATCCTTTCTCTGCTGGAAAAGTACAAGTTACTCCTTGGGCAGGAGTGATGGCACCTTGTAGGAAGCGAGCTGTCTCCTATTTCAGAGACTCGTCCCTCTTTCTTCTATCAGGACAAACAGCAATCCTGAATTTGAGCAAGTGCAGACGTAAGTGCTAACTAATATACACGAACTCTCCTACTTCACTCGGTCAAGGTGACTTTGCCACGGCGACCTGGCATTTCCCCCAGTCCTTGGGGAAACGTTCCCGCACCGCCAGGAGGCCTCGGCGTGATGGTTCTCCTTCACCATGGCTCAGCTGTTTTTGCTCGGGTCCTGTCTGTGCTCTTCCCACCCTCACCCCACCACCAGCCCAGACTGAGTTTCCCCCACGTGATGCAAATAGATGATGATAGTGATGGTGATGATAAAGGAATAATAGTAATCGTAGTAAGACATAGTGAAATGGTCTGGGGGCTCAGAGGGCATCTTGAAAGGTAGAAGGATGGGTGGTTTCTGCTGTGTCCTGAGCCAGATGAGTATCTTGGCATCACTAGTGAGTACTGACTTGGGCCTGGGGGAAAGGTGGTGAAATTAAGGGTTTGTGTGTTTTTTTTTTTTTTAAGATTTTATTTATTCATTTAAGACACACAGAGAGAGAACATGAGCAGGGAGAGAGGCAGAGGGAGAAGCAGGCTCCCCGCTGAGCCAGGAGCCCGATATGGGGCTTGATCCCAGGACCCTGGGATCATGACCTGAGCCGAAGTCAGACGCTTAACCATCTGAGCCACCCAGGCGCCCCGTGTCACGGCCTGTTTTACAGAAAGGCCCTGAGAAGTGACAAAAGACTAGGACTGGAAGGGAGGTGTGTGGCCTCTAGGTGTATGTTTTCTCCTGGGGTGGGTGGGGGGGTTGCCATCTGTCTCTCGGCTTCACTAGGTGACCTGCCCCCACGTGGAGTTTTAACAGAGCCGTCTGGTACCCACGCTCCCTGGGAAGGAGCTGGGGGAGTGGTAGGGCAGGGAGTAGGCAGGACAGCCGGCCCAGGGACCTTCCAAGGGACTCTGGGTCTAGAAAGAACCTCCGAAAGTCACCTTGACCCTTCCACTGTTTCCAGGCAGGGTGAGCCTACCTCCTTTCATTCCCTGCCCTCACGCTGGCCCCACTCCTGCCACGGATTCTGCATGGCTAGAGAGAGAAACCCCGGGACCTCCGTAGCTAGGCTTTGGAGTTTGAGATCTCTGTTGATTCCAAGCCTTTGGTGATGCCTGGCTGTGACCTTGCCTGCTAATACCCTCTGTCTGAGGAAGGATCTGCAGGGATGTCCAAGCCGCCCCTGCTGTTCTGGTCCTAGGCATCTTTTGGAAGCCTGGAGCAGGCAGTCCAAGAAGGGAAGAGATGGAGGGCCCACCAGGACCCCAAGACCTGGGGCGGTGGACAGGGTCACGGCAGCAGCAAGTCCCTTAGATGGACGGTGGTGCTGATACTGGTTGGCTCTTCTGCAAGAGTCCTTGAACATTGATCGCCACGATGTTTCCCTTCCATCAGAATTGCACAGGACCCTTCTCAACCTCCCCACTCCCTCGAATGCTGCCCCTCTGGCAGCCAGATTCTGCTTAAGCCGCCTCATGCATCCGTCTTCTTCATGCAGGAGCACCCCCTCCCCCCAGCCCTTATGCTCTGGTGTGTCCTTCGGCCTCCAGATGTCCCTTCACATGTCCCCTGTTGGAGAGCGAGGGCTGCCGGAAGCACATCATCAGCACCCCCCGCCCCACCCCACTACACTCAGGCTGTCAGCCATTGCAAGACGGAGGATGGGGGGCAGCCACTTCTGAGTCTAGTTCTAAATACATCTAGAACCTGCACGTGTCTAGGTTGTGTATTCATGCCACCCCTGCCCCATTCTTGTCTTCAAATGGGGGAGGTGGATAGGAATAAGTGGAATGATGGGGGGTGGACAGGGAGACTCCCTCCCAGGTGATGGTGGGCCCCCTTAGACTCCCCTGTGTGAGGGTCAGGGGTGGCTCTCTGTACATGGAACCAGGAGCCATGAGGACGAAAGGAGATTGAGACCTGTCTGGAAAGGTGGCTCAGTTCCCTAAATCTGCATCATAAGAACAGGGTACCCTAGGTCTCCGTCTCCACCAAGGGTAAAGATAAGAATAGATTGCTTAGACAGCAGTAAGTACATTTAGATGTAACAGGAAGCATTTCCTGGGTATAAGGTATGACCAGGCCAAGGGGAAGGATGAAAGAAGTGGAGTGCTCACTCTCCCTGAGGAGAGGGAGGGGTCCACCTTTGGTCTCTCGTTGAACAGAGGCTGGGTGGCCTGGGAGGTAGTTCCCATGACACTCAGAGCTCCTGGGGGCCGTGGGATTTCCAGCTTTCTGGAATATTTCTCAGGCCCCAGCAGAGAGCACCACTGAATCCGTCCCCTCCCTACAGGCCCGCACTTCGCAGTTTCTTCTAGCTCTCCTTGTTGGCTTAATTCCGGGCCAGCAGCTGCGAGGCCGAGGCGATTCTGGAGACCTGAGGATGGGAGGGGCTGTGGCCGTGACTGGACAGGGAAGAGCTCAGTGGGTGATGTTCCAAGGTTGGCTCCACGCCAGCTGGCCCTTCAGGACCCCAGGGTCAAGAAAGGATCTTGTAGGAGGGGAAGTTGGGACGAGGAAGAAGTCAGGGTTCTTGCTCTGATTCTGATCAAAACTCACACGTGCTACTGGCCAGTTACTGGCCTTTCCCAGGCCATGGCTTCCTCTTTGGTGAAACCAGGGAATCGATTGTGATGACCCAAGGGCCTCCCCACATGCGCATTCTGTGACCCTACGGAGGCAAGACGGAAAGCATGTACTTCACCGAAAACAGACCGGGGTTCAGCCTTAGTGGTCCTCCTGAGCCAGTCGGCTAACCGTCTGAGTCTGGTCTGCAAACCATTCACGGGCAGTGACATTACCAACCTCTTGGGAGGACAGGATGATGTGCTGCGGGCAAGGCCTGGCTCATGGCAAGGAGGGGGCAACCCATACGGGGTTGGGGGGGCACGTCTGCAGAGGCTTCCGGGACAAAGTGGCATGTGAGCTGAGGCCTGGGAGAAGGGTAGTGGGGAGGGGGACAGAGCTTCCCGGAGGAGGCCGCATTGTTTGCCAAGAGCTGTTGGTGAGAGGAGGCATGGCCCGTCCAAGACCTGAGAGGAGCTTGATGTGACTGGACAGAGGACACTGTGAGGGCGGAGACAGGCCAGAGGACGCTGATGCTGGGGAGGTCAGCAGGGACGGGTTATCCCAGACTCTCCCAGCTGTAATTCTGGGACTTCAGAGGTGGGTCATCTGCTTCCACTCCCCCACATCCTCCCTTTCCGGCTTGTCCTCCCATTCTCCCAAGCTCAGCCCTCTTGTCCTTGGTCACACGGGCACAAGAAGTGCTGGGCTCACCAGGGGGACTTGGTCGGTCCAGGGAGAAGCTCAAGTCCAGAGTTGTCTGACCGGGAACCATGGAAGAAGGATCTACCTCCCACAGGAGATTCTGGATTTCTGGCATGGACGCTCTCCTGCTGAGCATTGTGCCCCCACTGTTGGCCTCAGTTTCCCCATCTGGTCCCTCACTAGAGAGCATCTAGGGAGTGTGATGGAGGAGAGCTGAGGGAAGCTACGGAAAAGGCAGCTCTTCACCTAGAGTAAAGGCTGATGGGGAGACAGGGTCAGCGCCCCCAGTTGTTACAACGTCAAAACTTTGATGGGAAGCTCGGAGGAAGGACTTCCAGGGATGAAGCATGTCACACACAGGGAAGGGACCTCAGGGAGGAAAAGGTCACGTGGAATAGCAATCCTATGGGTTCTTTTAAGAAGTACTTAGCCAAGGGGCGCCTGGGTGGCTCAGTTGTT